GTAATCAGAGAAATGTTAAAACAAAGAAATGAAATAGACAAGACAAAGAGTATAAGCATTACCATTGTTTATTATCACATTATTGATGTTTACATGCGTCATAATTAAATGTTTTAATTAAATCGTAACATATTAATTAGGTGCTTTATTTTTCATCGAATTGGCAATTGGTATTAGCCAAAACATTCCACTGTAACCCAGGTATCATTTAATCTTGTGTATCTAGCACTAATTTCTTTCACATTCGTTTAATATCAAATCTTTGGTTAAAAATTCGTAAAAATCATTTAAAATCACCAAAAGTCATCTAATTTGTACATGTGTCCAGTTTAAAGCTGACTGATTAATATTGATAATGAGTGTCCAATTTACAAGTATTTAATTTCTTGACCACTGTTCAAAAATGAATCATTATACATCATTAATCAATTGGGTTGTTTATTTTTTAACAGTGATTGAGAAATTAAACACTTTTAAATTGGACACTCATTATCAAAATTGAATGGTCAGCTTTAAACTGGACAGAAGTACAAATTAAATGATTTATGGTGATTTTAAACAGTTTTTACGAATTTTTAAACAAAGATTGGATATATCAAACGAATGTGAAAGAAATTAGTGCTAGATACACAAGATTAAATGATACCTGGGTTACAGTGTTCACTTCTACACGCATATAGCTTTGCTCCAATAATGATAATTTGTGGAATTTTATGGGGTTTTAAAAGAAACATAGTCAATGGGTGGAATTTAAGACTGGGCAGGGCGAAGACAGGGAAACGTTATCAAGTTGTTATTCAAATTATTCAAAGAAATATAAGGCCAAGAAATACGTGATGACATTGAAAAGGAGAGATGCATGTGCTACTATGCCGACATTATCATGGCGTACATGGACTAATGCTAAATCATAGGACTATGATATTTTTCTATAGCATATTCCCCCCCCCCCCCCAAAAAAAAAAAAAAATTCTCTTATTGGAAAATTTAAAGTCTTTTCATTCAAATAATATTAACGGATTATTTGTTGTTTGATTGTTCTTCTTCTTGGATTTGTTAAATTATTAAATTTTAGATGTCATATAACTGCTGCCAGACGTTATTAGGGGCAATAAAATTGGATCAACAATTTCATTGTAACTATATAATCTGTATTGTAAGATACATTTAGAATTATAATTAGAACAGAACAATAATATTATTCCCAATGCATTCACTGTCTTATTATATGACGACTTTGGTTTAATAAAATTTAAAATTCGTCATGACTCTGTAAGTTAATAACGATGTGTTGTGTATTACATCAAAGGTGTATTAGAAATTACTGTTGTTCTGAAATAGTTTCTTTTTAAAAAACATTCATGACATGGAACTCAATATAGAATAATAAATAACCAGAAATATTGAAAATGAAGCTATATAAGTTTAAAACTATGACTTTAAAATATAGTGAATATGTCGAAATAGGTAACTGCAGCAATAAATTATTATTGCCTAAATAGATGGGTGTGAATAGAATACATTTTATAACAAATAATATAGTGAAATTTACTGAAATACATGACAAACCATCTCTTTATTCAAAAACTTAGCACATTATTAATGCCCCACACCCCCTTTATTTTTATAATATTTTCTCTGATTCTAATAGCTGTAAGTGATTTCTCGGCACATTCAAAATAACCAGTCTTTGCTCTGCAAAAGGAGATCAAACAGTTATAAATGGGATTTAGACAAAAGGGAAACTTATTTACGCATACACTTAAAGACTTTCTGTTTCAAATCTACGTTGTATTATTCATCTGTTTTATGGGATTTATTTTTGGTATATACGGACACATATTTAATATGCGATAGCTTAAAACACAAGTAATAAATATTGTTCATACTGTATTAACAGGCCTTTAACAAATAGGTCATGCTATAACCCTATTCTAAACTGGTATCCATGATTTGTTTTTTGTCAAGTTTTTAGATTTCGAACTGCACACAATTAAGCAGAATTGGCAGTAAAAACAAAATCACAAATTACTACGGCTTATTATGAAAATCAATTCAAATAAAGCGACCGAAATAACAAAAGACACCAAAGTGATTTTCAAAGGTGATTGCATTCTTTTAGAAATAGAACAAGCTAGACGACACATAGAGCCGTGCCTAGTCCGTGATTTCGATTTATACATGCAACGGATGAGATGTAAAGTCTGAAATATGCCGGTTGAATCAGTCTTGGAACAGGAATTTCTTTATAACATGACTTTGATTTCCATTCATAATAAGCCGCACACCGACATCTCTTTTTCGGGACTGAGAGTTAGATTTCTTTATGTTTGACTAATTGTCCAAGAAGGGTCATTTAAGCTGTTGAAAGAAGGGAACCAAACATACCCTAATGTGAATATATCGGAAAGATGTCATGTAAATCGGCAAAAAGCTGTTTTGTATGAAAATATTATTACAATATAATGGCTGCTTCAAAAACAAATTCGTTAATCTGATAACAACGGAGATTAGAATATATTGGATAATCAAATTGAGGTTGGTTCGGATATCAGGAAATGACGATACTGCGTGCGATCAATTTTAAGATTCATGCATTTATAGTTCAGTGGTACGCACGATAATTTGTAAACAAATTAAACCCACAAAAAAGATCAAATATATAAATAACTGCAGTCCCACTATGGTACGAAGTATAAAACACATCGTATTCATCAAGAAATGAAATATGTATAAGAAAGCATATACGTAACTACCCCGCGTATAAATCCATGTATAAAGAACAACACTTAACAAAGACCGATCTGCGTAAAACACAGTAAATTAGATTTAACACCTACGCGTCAGATAAAGCCGGCTGGTCCTTGATAAATCACCTTTGCTGCAGTTATAACACGCTTTCGAGACTCACCAAACAATGAATATACACCGTGTCAGTCGTTTTTAACCCGTCTGTTAATTAACACACCCAGTACACAAAACGCCCCGTCGCGGAGATATTCACCCCTAGCGATAATTAAATCACCTTTCAGTCAATTTCTCACCCCTGTTAATTGACACACGGTGTCTACAGATTTTAGACTCGCGGTATTAGATTTTGTTGCGATAATTAGAATTTTACCGATATTTGCAGAAATTTACTAAATTGGCACGAAATCTATACCCGATTTGCACAAATATCACCTTTGATACTTCCCAGTGCAATTTTCATCCGATTTTGATGAAACTTGGAATGCATGTTTATATCCCAAAGATCTTGGTTCCTTTCGATATTTGTGCATATCGCATTGTAACTTCCTGAATTATGGCCCCTGATTGTACGAAAAATCGTGATCTTAGCTTGTGGTCCCTCTAGAGGTCACAATTTTTATCCGATTTAAAAAAAAGTAATATATCACCGTTACACCCTAATGATGGTTTAGTTTAAATTTTGTGAAAATCAGACCAAAACTTTCGGACAAAATCGCCGCACTGTGTACACAAATAGTGTAAACATCTGGTATATCAAGGTTGTGGACCTCCTAGTGGTGACAATTATGATCCGATTTTGATGAAAGTTGAAATGTATGTTTATAACCCAAAGATCTTGGTTCCTTTTCGATATTCACGCATAATTATGGCCCTTGATTGTACGAAAAATCGCGTTATGAGCTTGTGGTCCATATGAGGTCACAATTCTTATCCGATTTTTAAAAAAAACGTGTGAATATATCACAGTTATACACTAATGATGGTTGCGTTTGAATTTCGTGAAAATCAGACAAAAACTGACAGACTTAATGGCCGCCCCTTGTACGCAAATAGTGTAAAAATATGGTACAAGGTTGTGGACCCTCTAGAGGCTACAGTTTTTATCCAATTTGGAAGAAACTTTAAATATATGTTTTTATCATGCATTCGAATTTCGTGAAAATCGGACAAAAACTGACGGACCTAATGGCCCTTGAGGTCACAATTTTTTTTCCGATTTTTAAAAACTGTTTAGATATATCACCATTCCACCAATGAACTTTATGTTCGAAAATCGTACTGAAACTGCCCGACATAAATGGCTGCTCCGCGAACGTAAATAGTGTAAAAGTATGTAATACCAACGTTGTGGACCCTCTAGAAGTCGTAATTTTGATCCGATTTTGATGAAACTTAAAACATATGTTTATATCCTAAAGATCTTGGTTCCGTTTGATATTTGCGCATATGGGACCGAAAAATGACGAGGTGCACCTATTTTTATTATGTACAAATTAGAATATTTTGTTGACACATGATTTTTAATTGTGGCCTAAATCCCCCTGCTTAAATAACGATAAGAGTTGTGCCCCTTTATTTTCGGTAAAAATGTCCAGCAAGAAAAGTTTTGAAATAGCAAAACTGGTTTAAATATATCACCGTTACACCATAATGACAGTTGAGTTAGAATTTCGAGAAAATCTGACCAAAACTGCCCAACAAAATGGCCGCTCCCTGTACTCAAATAGTATAAAAGACCAAGGTTGTCGACCTTCTAGAGGTCACAATTTTTATCTGATTTTGATGAAACCCAAAATATATGTTTATATCCCAAAGATCTGGGTTCCTTTTGATACTTGCGAATATTGGACAGTAACTTCCTGGATTATGGCCCCTGATTGTGAAAAAAATCTATTTTTTTTTAGTTTGTTCTCCGTCCATTTCTTGAAAATGTGGGTGTGTTTTGCTTGGCAACTGCTTGTTTTTTGTTATTTGTTGCATGTTGAACACTATATAAACTGTTTCACAGGATTATTTCCAACCTTCATATATTACTGTTTTTAAATATGTCAACCCACTTAAGTTATATCTGTATAAAACTTTTATTTATGTAGCTAATGAAACTACAGTGTAGAATGATAAATAAAAAGCAAACATCAATACAACTTTATTGGCCATCATATTTCAATTATTGCATTTAAAAGACAAAATGTCATAAGTTTTCATTATTTTTTCAGTATTGATAATCTGTGAATTTATTATTTTTGTAGAAACTCCAGTTACTCCTACACCAGCTACAACAGGTCCCGATACTGATGCTCATCCTGAATTACATATTGTACATGTTCCTCAAGAAATAGAGATTGATGATACAGATAATGATATACCACCAAAGGTAATTTATACAGTATTATATTTTAAGATTTTGTTTAAACATGGTAATTTAATAATAATCCTTCATAGATGGGTATTCTTCCCTTCATTATGGATGGAGTTCCATATGTTATTATTATGTAATAACCTTGACCTACTAACTAGGCAAATTGTTGTCCTTTAGTTGTAGGTTAAGGATTGTTAATACAACTCAAAGTCAAGAACTGCAGGCATCATGGAAATGTTTTAGCTTCACCATTTTTAAATGCCCACACGGTAGAGGCTAGAGTTTTGACAGATTTTTTTTCAAACCTTGAGAGAATGATCCCTATCAATTTTCATTGTTTTATAACATTTTGTTCCAGAGATGTTTCTTATTACCTATAAGAAGATGATCCCTATCTATTTTCAGTGTTCTCCGATTTTCAAGTTTGTAGTTACTGCCCTTCTCATTCCGACATCACAATTTCTCGCCAGTGCGATAAAGGCTACAGTTTTGTGACAGATGTTTTTCAAATCCGGTGCGAAGCTTATTGATATTCAGCATTCCACGACCTTCTGTTCCAGAGTTTTCCCCCCCCCCCCTGAATTCTTATTAATGTGATAGAGGCTACAGATTTTGTTTCATGAGAAGAAGAACCCTATTGATCGATACCCAACACTCTGAGTAATCTGCCTTTTTTGTATGTCCGTCCATTGTTCACAATTTCTTGTGAACACTCTACAGCCTACATTTATCATCTGATTGTTTTGAAATTGATATATGTTGTTTACATTTGTGAGATGAAGAATCCTATGTAATTTCAATAATTTTCATTAATTTCTTCTGGAGTTATGACCCTTGTTTCACTTTGTTAAACCTTGTGAACACTCTAACGACAAAAGTTATCATCTGATCTGTATGTAATTTATATGCATCATTTAAATTAGTGACACGAAGAAGCCTGTTGAATTTCAGCAATTTCCGTTAATTACATCTAGAGTTATGGCCCTTGTTTCACTTTGTTGAACCTTGTGAGCGCTCTAACGAGAAAAGTTATCATATGATTTGTATGGAATTTGTATGCATCATTTAAATTAGTGAAACGAAAAAGCCTATTAAATTTGAGCAATTGCCTTTAATTATGTCTAGAGGTATGGCCCTTGTTTCACTTTGTTAAACCTTGTGAATGCTCTTAACAACAAAAGTTACATGTATCATCCGATCTGTATGGAATTTATATGCATCATTTGAATTTGTGAAACGAAGAAGCCTATTGAATTTCATCAATTTTTATTATGGCCCTTGTTTCACTTTGTTATGGCCCTTGTTTCACTTTATTGAACCCTGTGAACGCTCCAACATCGAAAGGTATTATCCAATCTGTATGAAATTTATATCAGGGTTGTAAAAATCCACTAGCCCGACGCCCGGGGCTACCAAAAATAACTTATGGCCTAGTGATCTATTTAGCTGTACTAGTCCTGGGCTAGTGCCCCTTTACTGGTTTGTGAATTAAACTAGTGATATAGATAAATAAACTGTAAAACATCCCACATTTATTTCTCCAATTCCACAGAAGACTCAATCATAACAATAGATTTTCTATATAAAACTTAAAGCAGTATGGACATTTTTAATACCTCGTCGATTCATTCATTCTTGACATTTTCCTCCACCTTGCACACTTTAACAAGTCACGTATTCACCAGTTGAAATCAGATTAATTTTTTAAAAAGCATTCATAATATTTTATAAGAATTAAGATTAGTTTTGAGATAAATATTTGAAAGCATGTAATTGGATTTTCAAATACAAAATAATTTTGATTATTTAACATGTCTGGTATTTCCAAAGAATTTACTACACGTCTTTTAACAAACACGCCATGCTGAATGGTACCAGGCAGTGAGCCGTATGTCGTCAACTTTGACCCTAGTGATAATATAAACAATTTTCCTGTCCTGTCTATTTTGATATTATATCAGCACATCAAACTGATTTGTTTCCTTTTGAGACTTTATATATTGACCAGAATAATAAATACTGTAAAACAATTAATTTGTCAATTAGTCGAGGCTGTTTCATGCTTTGCAGTGAGTGCTAATAATAGCATATATTACAAATGACAAGTGCTATGAGTTTTTATGTGGTCTTACTAGTGAAAGAAAACATTGTTATGGCTACCATTCCTGGTTTTGAAGGTCAGATATGATATGAAAACGAATATCGGTTTGTAATTTTTTTTAATCGTTTCACCAGTGCAATCGAACGGTGGCCGGTTAACTGAGTAGATGTTGACATCCTTAATTGTTAGGAAATCAAGTCTACGATCTTTATTTAAAAAAGATATGTTGGCAGGTAACAAAATAGACACCCAAATATTGAAGATCAAAGTAATTAATGCCGGGCTAGTGTCTTGACAGTAGACTACTATCCCAGGGCTAGTGGATTCAAATTTTTTTTTTATGCCCCTGATTTATAAATGCATCATTTAGATTAGTAAAACAAAGAATCATATTGAATTTCAGCAATTTCCGTTAATTTCTTCTTGAGTTATGGCCCGTGTTTCACTTTGTTGCGCCTTGTAAATGCTCTAACGATAAAAGTTATCATCCGATCTGTCTGAAATTTACACAGATCATTTAAATTAGTGACACGAAGAATCCTATTGAATTTTAGCAATTTCCAATAATTACGTCTAGAGTTATCGCCCTTGTTTAACTTTGTTGAACCTTGTGAACATTCGAAGGACGAAAGTTATCATCTGATCTGTACGAAATTTATATGCATCATTTAAATTAGTGAAACGAAGAATCCTATTGAATTTAAGCATTTTCAAATAATTACTTGTAGACTTACGTGTTGAACCTTGTGAACATTCGAAGGACGAAAGGTTCCATCTGATCTGTACAAAATTTATATGCATCATTTAACACTGAGAAGTAGTAATAGTGTGATTTGTACGTTTATGGTATATATTTCTCAATTTTTAGTCAATTTGTACAAATATCGGTAAAAATCTAATTATCACAACAAATCTAATACGAAGAGGCTAAAATCTGTAGGTACGGTCTGTTAATTAATAGGGGTGAGAAATTGACTGAAAGGTGATATAAATATCGTTAGGGGTGAAAATCTCAGCGACGGTGCGTTTTCCGTACTGGTGTGTTAATTAACGAACGGGTGTGTATTCTTTGTTTGGTGAGTTTTCTCGAAAGCGTGTTATAACTGCAGCAAAAGTGATTTATCAAGGACCAGCAGGCTTTATCGGATGCATGGTGTTAAATCTAATTTACCGTGCAATTTCTTGTTCGACCGTGTGTTTTACGCAGATCGGTGTTTGTTAAGTGTAGGTCTTTATACATGGATTTATAATGGGATAGGTACATATATCCTTTCTTATACGTATTTCATTTCTTATATGTATTTCATTTCTTGATGAATACTACGTGTTTTGTACTTCGTACCATAGTCGGACTGCAGTTATTTATATATTTGATCTTTTTTGTGGGTTTAATTTGTTTACAAATTATCGTGCGTACCACTGAACTATAAATGCTCGTTTCCTAAAATTGATCACACACAGTACCGTCATTTCCCGATATCATAACCAACCCCAATTTGATTATCCGATATATTTTAATCGCCATTGTTATCAGATTAACAAATCTGTTTTCGAAGCAGCCATTATATTGTAATCATATTTTCATACAAACCAGCTTTTCGCCGATTTACATGACGTCTTCCCGATATATTCGCATTAGGGTATTTTTTGTTCCCTTCTTTCAACAGCTTAGATAACCCTTCTTGGACAATTAGTCAAACGTAAAGAAATCTAACTCTCGGTCCCGCATCCGTTGCATGTATAAATCGAAAGCACGGACTAGGCACGGCTCCATGTGTCGCCTAGCTTGTTCTATTCTAAAAGCATGCAATCGCCTTTGGAAATCACTTTGGTGTCTTTTTTTTATTTTGGTCGCTTTATTTAAAACGATTTTCATAATAAGCCGTAGTAATTTTTATACGCCCACATTTTCATGTGGTTAAAAACAAAGTCATGGGTATCACAAAACCATCTTTTATAGTATCTAACGTTTCGTAAGTCTAAAAACCTACTTCTTCAGAGAATACAAGCTACACAAATAATACAGTTGCAGTACAAGGTTAGTCTCTTGAAGTTGATTTTAGGCAAGTGAAAGCGCTTCAAGTTTGATTTGTAATTAATAACGCTGTTAAATGACCAAATTAATTACTTCGGAAGCTGAATAATGATCAAATAAGGTCTCGTTGGCAATAAATACGACGGGTAGTGTTAGAACTAGTGAGTATTATGAGATGATAGCAGACGAAATGTCTTGAAGACGTGAAAATAAAGATGGCGGCTGAAATACCTTTTATATACTATAATATATAGTCAAGCAGTAGTAAGAAGTTTTATTTTAATCCCTTCAAGTGCCTGTGGGTTAGTCATGGTAACAAGTGATGTCATAATGTTAATATGACGTCATAGCTTTGATGACATAATATAAAGAATAAGCTAAATAATATATAGTTAAAAAATGGGTGTAGAATTAATTTACAGGCATTTCATTTAAACAACTAGGCCATACAGTATTTAATCTGTGGATCCAAAGTGATTCAGCAATATTGAGTTTGGCTCTATCGTTCTGAGGGATTTTATCGAGTACAGTGCAGACATAAGATTCATGACCAGGTGTCTTAAAGTGTGGGGCTATGTGAGGTGATTTTCCAATCTTTTTCAATTTAATATTGCTTCTATGACTATTAAGTCTGGTACTAAAGGGGGTGATAGTTTGACCAACATACTGTTTCTTACAAAACTCACAAGTTATACAATATATAACATTAGAACTATGGCAATTTAAACAATTAGCCTTAATATGAAATTTTTTAAAGTATATACTGGTAATGTGACTGGTGGTTTCAACAGTAGTACACGCTTTGCATTTAGATCTATAACATGGTTTGCATCCTCCATAAAAAGCACTGTCAATTACAGGCACTTCAGGTGTTTTCAG